GTATTACACTAATCGTTGTATAAAAAATAAAAAAAGGAAGAAAAGAAAAAATGTAACTCAATGTAAAATGTCTTATCGTAGTCTTTATGATTGAGTGATTAACCCTGTAGGATATTTAAAACCTGGTGCCCTAAAGTCATATAATTTGAAAGTCAACGACCAAAAGCTCAATACAAGGGTTATCTAGAAAGTTTGATGGAGAGAAGTATGCACATAAGATATTAGAAAAGAAAAAATCTCCATATATATATATATATATATATATATATATATATATATATATATATATTACAAACGCTTATTTGAGAAAATTAGACTTTTAACAAATGGTTATTAGCCTATTGATTTTTGGAAGTTGAAGCAATCAAAAATAAGGAAAATCCACTTGTTGATACAATGAATTACAGTTAGTAAGATCTAACCAAATTAGAGAAGGTGAAGATCCAGTATTATATAGAAATTTAACCTCAAGTCACAACTTGAAAGAGAGTTGAATAAATAAGTTTGGAGGTGTGAATTTCACGAGAGCAGAAAGGATAAATTTGACAATTGAGGGTTAGGATTTGAATTACCTTATGAATTAATGATGCCTGACATGAATTTTCACACTCGCATACGTAAGTTTTATATTGGATAAGTAGAAATTAATTTTAGCGTTGTGATTTGTAGCAGTTCTATAGTCTTAATATATATATTCCAATCTTAAGATCAAAAGCATATTATCTAACCATATGTTTTTAAAATTTTTAGTTAAGTTAAGATATGGTTTTGTTTGAGTACAAACAAATGTTCAAATTTCCTTATTTGTTAGTGATTTGGATAAGTTATAGCTTAATTATGTATTAATTATATTTGTTAGGTTAAATTCAATGCAAATTTGTGCAATTGGAAGAAAGGAACGAAAAAGGGATAAAAAATGAAAGAAATGCAAAGTTTTGGGGATCAAAGTGTAAACATTCAATAGTTGATTCAAACTATAAAATGATTATTGAATATCACATATGATCAATTGGACATAATTTGTTTTTTAAAGGAGTGAAATATAGCCGAAATATTCTCACAAATCAATTTCCACTCGAAAAAGTCGTGCTATGGGTTTTTAGGCTCAAATTGAGACCCATTTTTTGGATAGCAAACCTTGAAGTTGGAAAATTGTTGTCAAGAAAAATTGTAACCCTTTGATTCCTCTTTCCAACTCATTTTGGATCACCTTAATTAGATATTAGAAGAGAAAGTTATGATCAAAATACCGAAATCTACTTAAGGATGAACTCCGCGAACCTGCGCACCCGCGAGACTGAAATTTTAATGACCCGAGTGCCATTGGATCAATGGTCCGTGCACAATGGTTATGCTTATGCGCATGAACGGGCGATTTTCGTAGATGAATCAACAGTTTCCTTTCAGGATTCAAACTCTCTTAGAACCCAAAATTGAAGCAATTTTGGTTTATTTTTTTGACTCTTATAAATACAAAACAAGGGTTACATATGGAGATAACTCTCTCTTGCCTCTTTATGTACAATAATATCATTAAATTTATCAAGAACAAAATGTCAATTCACTATTTTTGGAAGAGAAAATCGAGCCCTAGCAAGAATTGAAGGTCAATTACATCAAGAAATTGAAGAATTCATATTTGGACTTGAAGATCAACATCCTTTGTATTATTTTATAATTCGAGTGGTATTTTTTCATTATTCTTCTTGTAATTTATTTAAAAGCATGCTAAGCTAGATCACTTTTTTTGTATTAGATGAGATAAACCCTATTATTTATTTATTTTAATTCAAAACTAGATATTTAGTTTAATTATTGTGCTTCTTGATTAATTTTTGCATACTCATTGTATTATTTACTTGATTGGTCACCAATTAGATAATTAGTCACTAGTTTAGTGTTGAAAGACTTATAATAAGTTTAGAATACTGTAAAATTAACATATTTACAATAAATGTTATCACTTGTGCAATCATATAAATAATCTAAAATTTAATGCATTCTAACGATTTGAATTTGAGCTAGGATTAGATATGGTTGTGGTTAGGATAAAATTAATTTATCTTGAAAAAGAAAGTTAGATGCATTATCTTTGTCGATTGTCAAGAACGCACGAACAAAATTAGATTACAAATCAAGAATTGAAATAGATAATAATAGGTGGAGTCGAAATCCAATACAATCATCCATAATTTGATAAAAATCAAACTTTTATTGCTTTTTTAGATTAATTTTGCAAAAATAAAATCAAAATCCCTCTTTTGTTTTGCATAATTTGAATTTCATACATAATTAATAAAGTTGAATTGATGTTTATTCCATGTTAGACGATAACCTCAACTCACTAAGTTTATTACTTATCAACGATTCCTTATGCTTGCGGGTTTGACATGAACGGTCTTAACAATGGAATTGCATCTTAGAAAAAAATTAGAGAGTGAAGTGATAGAAAATCAAGAAAAATAATATCAAGAACTAGGGTTTTTGAGTTTTTGTATTAAGAAGGTAATTCCTGGTACAAGATCGTCATATTTTTCCTCAATATTCCTTTAAATTTGATGATATACTCCATTCTTTCTTGTAATTTTTTTTTCTCATTGTGTAACTAAATGATTATTTGGGACGACAAAGATAACCTAGCTTTGAATATTAATTTTAATTATAATATTTTGATTTTCAATTGATGTTTGTGAATTGATTTTATTTCTTTTTTAAAGCTTTGAATTATTTGATTATTAATTCATTGATTTATGAACGATAATTACGTCGAGAGTAGAGTTATTTGTTTAGATCACGTGATAAAATTCAACAATTTAAATGAAAGGCAACAATACATTTTTATGGTTCGATTCACATTAAAATTAGTGAGTTGACTTAATTGAGTAGAACTGATTTGAACTCGGGAGAGATAAATCAATTAATTTAGAAGAATTTGATCGGTATAGATAATTATTTATTATTGATGATTGAGATTAAGGTATACATAATTATTTATTATCGATAATTGATAGTAAGGCGATAATTGCAATGAACTCGTGAATCTTGACACTTTAATTCTCATATAAGAGAATTTTTAAGAGATTCTTTATTTTTAAAGATTATCTTGATCTCAATAGAGAGCATATTTAAATCTAAAGAGTATAATATTTTATACAATCCAACAAACTATTTATTTTATTTTTTTCAACACTCATTTCCTGTTTTTCCTCATTTTTCAATCAATACATATTTTAGATGTTCATGGCTAAAATATTCTATAATATAACTACTGAAGTGTTGAAATTTGCAATGTTATTAAATACAATCTCTATAAAATACAAATAGAGAATGATATCGACTCTCCAAATATAGAGAATTCAACCGACTATTTATTTAAAAAGTTAAAATAAAGAATTTATTGGAGGTTAATTTTAAAGTTTGACTCTTTAAAATAAATACTATTTCACTTTTAAATAGACATATTTAGATGCAATGAGAATCCTGACTTTTCCACATGTCTATTGTTTTACTAAATTTATAGTTTTTAGTATAGAAATCAAAATCAATTGTTTTTATTTGTTTTACTCAAACGTGAGCTAGGAATAGTTAAATCAACGATTAAATAGTGGTTATTGTGAAAACAATAGTCCCAACTTTTCGATCCACTTTATTACTTGTTCACAATATCTTACCATTGCGATACAAAAATATACACAAACAAGTTGCTTGTGAAATCTTTTTCATACATCATGTTAAACCTCTTTATCTAAAGCTTTAAGTGGTTGGACAGAGCACGCACGTTAATATTAGATATTGTTGAAAACTACATTTAACCCTTGTTCAGTTTAGCTAAAAATTATTTTTTAGTAGATTTTGATCAAAGCTATTTAAATATGTGTTTGAAAAATTGTAAATTTCATGAAATATGTAATTAAAATTAACTATTGAGCTTTGTTTAGGCCCTTGTTTGTTTGAACCTCATTTTTTACATCAAATTACATTCTTCAACAGTGATTTAAAATAATTCTAATCACATTTTTCAATAAAATAATATTACACACAAATCCAAAATTTTTCTCATTTTTTAACCACGTATTTTCCATCATAACATTACTTAACATTACTTCAAAATGCATTTTTTGAAAAAAAAAATTAAGCTCAAACAACCTCTAGATTTCTATCAACTTTCTTAGTTAACCCAAATAAGGGCTTTGCAAATGAATTTTAAAAAAATGGGTTTTTGATAACCATTCTTCCATAACTCATATTCAATCACACGTTCTCATCGTAAAATACTTTTCATGTAAATTCTAAACCCTTTTCTACCTTTTAATCACACATTTTTCAAAAATTTACTATTCGAAAACTCCCAAAAAAAATGATGCTATCAAACAGGATGCTAAGCCTTTGTTTGAGCCTCATTCTTGACAAAAAATATATTTTTGAATAGTGTATTGATAAAAAATATGTAATTAAAAATAAAGAAAATTTTTAAATTTATGTGTGATATTATTTTATTGAATATTGTGCGGTTGAAATGGGATCCAATCACTCTTAAATAATGTATTTTAATGAAAAAAAGAGACTTAAACAAGGATTAAGTGTTCCATCAAATGACTATTTCTCATTCCAACTCGTGTTGAATTAAAAAAGAAAAAAAGAAACAATAACTAGGACGTTAAGGGTGTGTTTGATTGACATGGAAAATATTAGTTAAAAAAGAAAATATTTTCCATCTTTTGTGGAAAATAAAAACCACCTCCACCCAAAGAAAATATTTTCCTTAAAAACAAGGAAAATTAGGCATATTTTCAAAAGTTGAAAAATATTTTCCATGAAAAAAAATAACAATCAAACACTCAAAGTGAAAATTTGGATGAAAAATTGATATTTTCCATGAAAAATAAATGTAATCAAACACACTCTAACAAAAAAAAAAAAAAAAAAAAAAAAAGAAACAATAACTAGGACATTAAGAAAAAGAGGCGACAAAATATTCTCTTTAATTTCTTATTGAGAATTCAACTTTTTGTAGTCTTGTGATAGAGAGATTTGTGAATGAAATATTTGCTCACAATTCATCTGGCATTCGAAAACCACAAAAAAACAGTTTGAAGCAGAACCACTCCTCTCTAAATCTTCTTTATCCAAAACTACGAAAAATTCCAATAAAATTAAATCCATCCACGGCTCCAGTGGCTGTGAATTTTCTTCAATTTTTTTGACTTTCTGCATTGCCCACATAATAATATAGTATCACATATTTCAGTGGAATCTTGATATAGAAAATCACTGACCGAACGTAATAAAGTGTGCTTTAACCCAAAGAGAGCCCACTTCTTAGCAGAGGCTGCTTAGGTCAGGAGAATTATAACTAGTATTTTAAAGGTAAATATTCTCAAGAAAATTACAAGTTCTGATAAATTGTTTTCGGAAATTAGAAAGTGATGCATAAAGGGATTGATGATTTCTGTGGTTAAATGGGTTATGATTCTGTTTGTTGTTATTGGGTTTTGTTTAAAATGAAAAAATTTCATGTCAATACTGAGTTTTGTGTTGTTTTCAATTATCAGTGGCTTTATTTAATCCATTCTCTGTTATTTTCAATTTTTCATGGTTGATAAGTGTCATTGATGGACTTCTGGTGCAATTTGCTTTGGTGCATGTGTCCCCCCACCCCTAGCCCCAGTATTGTCTTATAATGTTCACATATGAAATGTTGATCAACCATTTATTTTGTTTCGAATTTTTCTGTTGTTAGAGTAATCACTGAATGATATCTCGATCTTGAACTATGGATACTGATTTCTTTAAAATATTGGGTTATGATTCTGTTTATTGTTATTGGGTTTTGTTTAGAATGAAAAAATTTCATGTCAATACTGAGTTTTGTGCTGTTTTCAATTATCGGTGGCTTTATTTAATCCATTCTCTGTTATTTTCAATTTTCCATGGTTGATAAGTGTCATTAATGGACTTCTGGTGCAATTTGCTTTGGTGCATGTGTCCCCCCACCCCTAGCCCCAGTATTGTCTTTTAATGTTAAGAAATATTGAAATGTTGATCAACCATTTATTTTGTTTCAAATTTTGTTGTTGTTAGAGTAATCACTGAATGATATCTCGATCTTGAACTATAGATACTGATTTCTTTAAAATATTGTGCTATCGGTTAATCTTGGAGTTTAAGGGGAATTTTTTCAGATTTTGTTCCTTTTCATTATCCAGCCTTTCACTAAATTCCCAGTTAACGGCATAAAGTTTCTTTTGGTTATTCTCAGGTGGGGAGCGAGTTAATTGATTTTATCCCCTCATCTTGCTAGTGACTTGAGGACTTGTTCGCATCACGTCCAGATTTAATACGAACTATATACTTAAACATGTCGAAGCCACTGGATTATGAGAATTTGAATGAAAATGTTAAGAAATGTCAGTATGCTGTTCGAGGTGAGCTGTATCTTCGTGCCTCTGAGCTTCAGAAGGAGGGCAAGAAGGTATGTTTTGATAAGCAGTCATATCTCCCTATTACAGGGACGAGGTTTCTGACGTCTTATTTTTAATCTGTGAATGTTTAGAATGGAAAGCTTATATCTAGTCACAAATTTTGTGGAACATTCTGTTTCATACTGTCTATCTCGGTTTAGTTTCTCTCTATGAAAGTCACTTAAATTTACGAGTTATACAACCGTGGCACAGTGGCATTGACCGCTTACTCTTTGCCATGTGATCATCAATGATTTTACCGCAGATCATCTTCACAAATGTTGGCAATCCTCATGCCCTTGGGCAGAAGCCTCTGACATTTCCTCGCCAGGTTGTATAATTTATAATTATTTATTTATTTTGCATGTATTTTTTATATCATTTTTGATGGTGTAGTTTGTATTCACGGTAAGAAAAATGATGTTGCAGGTGATTGCGCTCTGCCAAGCTCCGTTTCTGCTAGATGATCCTAATGTGGGGCTTGTGTTTCCAGCCGATACTATAGCAAGAGCTAAACATTATCTTTCACTGACATCAGGGGGTCTAGGTATTATACTTCACAATATTCTCATTCTGTTCTCTGAGAAAATATAGAACACCTTATGTAGTACTTTGAGAAATGAAGGATTTTTCTTGATTCCATTTTTTATTATTTTCTTTGCCACAAAGATGAAAGATCCTGTTATTTATTTCCATCCCGCATTCTCTTTATTCCTTCCAACCTAGACTCCAGGCAAAAGCAAGAAATACTAACTTTTTTTGGTGGCTGGTTTTCCATTTTCTCGTCAGATATCATGACTTTACTTTGCACACTGTTTAAACCAATACAAAAATTACATTTCAGAGATAAAATGTGCAGTTGCTAGAGACTGCCACAATATGATTCTCTCTCTCTCCATGAGAACTACTTCTTTCGGTAAACCAGACTTTTATTTCATAGTACATGGACTAGTGTATTAAGTTACTAGCTCAAATTCTTTAAACTTGTCAGTGGTTACATTCTGCAAATACTTAGTAACCTCATCTGAAGATGTCCATTTTATTTATGACCACTTTACCTGCTTTGAACTTTGCATTTTGATCAATCTACGCTGGGTTAGACAATGTATCAAAGTTTGTAAGATTTTACACTGGCTGTCAGCCTACTGGAAGCCTCCTCCTTTATCTGGGCTTGGAATAGGCTATAAAAAATAATAGGTGGAGTTGGTTAGACACTGTGTTTATTATTTAGAAAAGGGAAAAAGTGATCAGTACTTTGTTGTGTCTGTATCCATTCTTCATAACTTCAACTCATTATATATTCTAGGCCATTGTAGATGTTTAATCTTGGATATATATTTTCAACTACACATCATAGTACTGCTGTCAAAATTTCAGTCGTCCTGATTAATTTTGGTTCTTAGCGTTTCATTGCATCAGACAGCCAAATTAACTGTCGACTATGAAGCTTACTCAATTTTCTATTAGAGGAACATCAATAAGGAGCAAAGATTGATTATCACGTGCTTTATACTTAATCAGGTGCCTACAGTGACTCACGAGGCATTCCTGGAATAAGGAAAGAAGTGGCAGAGTTCATTGAGAGACGTGATGGATATCCAAGGTGACAATGATTAATTCGTAATTTTCATGTTTTGTCCTTGATAAACAGTAAAATAAGCAATTTTAGCTCCTTTTTTGTTTTGAATGTCCTGTGTTGTCAATTCACCTTACTAAACATGCTAATTATGTTTGAGATAGATGTTAACAAGTTTTATGGTATTATTTATATTAATTCTTGAACTGATTTCAGTGATCCAGAACTCATATTCCTAACAGATGGTGCCAGCAAAGGAGTGATGCAAATCTTAAATGCTATTATTCGTGGTGATCGTGATGGGGTAATAATCCTTTAAGCCTCTTCCATCCTTGCTGTTTCTTTGCCTCATTTTGGGGTAATGTTTTCCCATAATATTATTAACACTATTCTTTTCTGTTTCCAGATACTGGTCCCTGTTCCACAATATCCCCTTTATTCAGCTACAATATCGTTATTAGGCGGCTCTCTTGTTCCCTATTACCTTGAAGAAACTGCCAATTGGGGTCTTGATATTGTTAACCTTCGCCAGTCAGTTGCCCAGGCTCGTTCTCAAGGAAAAACTGTAAGTATTTCTTGTACAAATATATTCTACAATCATGCTTTGGTGTGCTTAAAACTTACTCTTCCAGAAAATAAGTTGACTTACTTTCTCGACAAGTTTTTTTTTTTTGGTACAAAAACTAACTTGAAAATCATATCTGAAAAAAAGTAACTTAAAGTGAAAGTTAATGAAGGCAGCTTGTTTTTATGGTGCAATTAGCTGTTTCTGTATTGCATCTACTTCAATAACAAAGAACTACCTAATTTAAGGAAACTTGTGTTGTTCTTGATTCATGCTTATTAGTTACGTTTTGTACATGCTCCTTAAAGTTTCTCCAGCTTATCCCTTTTTTTTTTCTTTTTTTTTTTTTATGTGCTTGTGATAAGGTACGGGCAATGGTGATTATAAACCCCGGGAACCCTACTGGACAGTGTCTTAGTGAAGCAAATCTGAAAGAAGTATTAAAATTCTGTTATGAGAATAATTTGGTATTGCTTGGAGATGAAGTTTATCAGCAAAATATTTACCAAGATGAGCGTCCCTTCATAAGTGCACGGAAGGTATATATAAAGTGCATGTTTTGTTCTAAATGTCAGTTCTCTTGGATCTTACAGACTGATGGCATAACGTCCTTCAAAGCTGAGTACATGTTTGGTATACAATATTTGATCGTAATGGGCAGTAGAGTGGACGCTTTTAGTTTCTTTTTGTTTTTTAAAACTGTCAAACTACACTCTAATCCCCCTTAATAAACTTTCCATCAAGGTTCTGATGGACATGGGAGGACCCATAAGCAAGGAGCTTCAGCTTGTTTCCTTCCACACAGTCTCCAAAGGTTATTGGGGTGAATGTGGGCAACGGGGCGGGTACTTTGAGATGACCAATGTTTCTCCAAAGGTTTGCCTTGCTGTAATTTCAAATTTTGTTTTTTAAGCATTGAACACTTTAACTCCGAAAGCAATAGTAAGCAAAAGTGAATCAGGAACGAGCAAAGCAAACAAACATATTTATACGTTAACATAATGAAGAAAGAGATACAAGGATTTTTACCCACATGCCTCTCTATCTTGACTATACGAACACTTATCCCCTAAATAAAAAATAAAAAAATAAAAAGTCGTTTATTTATGATAGGAATGTTAGGCTGACCTATATATGAATTCCTGATAAACCCCTATAAATAAAACGGTCCATAGGGGAGAAGTGTAGAATGTGGTTACGCTCCACAGTCCAACAATAGACTGGAAATAATCATGCCAAGTTGGGGTACTTGAAATTCTAAACATCAAGTAAGATAAAACAGCTGAGGAACACAAGTATAAGTGCTGTTTTTATTTGTAAAGGTTAGACAATTTACAAAACAAGTTCTTACAGGCAAAATGAAGGCTGCAGTCAGCTAAATGTGCACCCCATGTCTGTTTATAAGGATTTAGATAACATGGAAATAAAAATTATTATTATTATTATTATTATAATTATTTTTATTTTTTTATTTTTTTTAATTCTGAATCCTATCACCAAATAAATTTTCGACTGTGGTTGCAGACAGTAGAAGAGATATACAAGGTTGCTTCCATTTCACTCAGTCCAAATGTCCCTGGGCAGATATTCGTAAGTCAGTTATTTAATAATTTGTGTTTTATACGAGGGCTTTCTCTTTTCAGTTTCTAATACTCTTGCATTGTGGTATTATGTTGATTGAACTGGTTTCACCTATTTCAGCCATACTGAGAGCCAAACTATAATTCTTTGCATTTTACAGCTAGGGCTTATGGTCAGTCCTCCTAAACCTGGAGACATATCTTATGAGAGATTTGTTAGAGAGAGGTATAAATTCTAATATCCAATCCTTCACAATTCTATTTGATTTTTTTCTTGAGAAATTTTTCTAACTAGTCAATTTTTTGTTGGCCAAAATTAAATTTGTTCCCGCAAAAAAATAAAAATAAATAAATAAAAAATAAATGTAAAATACGGCTCAGGTAGTGCTATTTTACTATATTGTCTTCTACGCAATCAGGCACAGTTGACATGGAACACTACAGGGTTTAAATGGATTAGAAAACCTCGTCAAATTTCCCTTGTTTGACGATAATGCAAAAAGGAAGGGATAGAGTTTAAATGGTCTAGAAATTCTTGTCAACTTTGCCTAGTTTGATAAGAATGCCTAGATTTATTCAAAATTCATGCAGAAAGGGAGATGGGGATTTGGTAAAACTTTTGAGAAGAGATGCGTACATTTGTCAAAGAATTTTAAAACAATGACATCATTTATAATTCCACAAGTAGTGGACAATTCTTTTTTCACTGTAAAAGTGTCGTGTGTGGGAAATTGTCTTTTTTCTTCTAGGTTTTAGAATTTAGAGAAAAGACCTTAATACTTTAAGTTTTCCCCTTCCAATGGAAGTAACTGACTCTCTAAGCATTGCTTGTGTCTTTTGCAAAAACGAGCTAAGTCTTATTTTTTGTAGTTTGGGTTTGGCTACAAGAATCTTTCTCATCCACTCCGTTCAGTTGATTATAGATTTACTAAAAGATGTGAAGTAACTAGATTATTGGCAACTACAATGTGCCATGCTAGGTTTTGCCCTCTTTCAATATATTTCACCGACATCGCATCTCTCTTATGAATGCAAGTCAACCACATCTCTTTTGTTTATATATATGACCACTCTGTGCTTTCAGTAAGACAAATTATTTGCTGACATGTGGACCCGAAGAGGGGCAGTAGATTATAGCACAATCACAAGAGGGTTGGATGATGAGTAGGACTATGTGCAATTGAGACGAGACTTTCAATTTAAATTGATCTATATGTTTCTTTTTTACTGGATCATTCTTGTTGGTTAAGACATTGAAAAAGTTAGTCTTACTGTAATCTACTTTCTTTCCCGTGTTCAAAATTGAGGACCCATAAGTTCTTTTTATTTGATCTCATTTTTTGGCCAAACTATTGCTTATTATGTGGTTTTGGTTGTATTTAATAGGGAATTAATTGCTGCTTTCTTTTGTCACTCCCTTGCAGCAAAGGAGTCCTTGAGTCTCTGAGGAGGAGAGCACAAATAATGACAGATGGATTCAATAGCTGTAGAAATGTGGTCTGCAATTTTACAGAAGGTAAATCCTTGTCTTAGGATGCACGGGATTTCAAAACCCGCCACTCTAAGAACACCCTAAACGCCGTCAATTAGATATCCACTTTCCTTCATCACGCGGAGTTATTCACTATAAGAACAAATGATTTCAGGTGCCATGTATTCCTTCCCACAAATACGCTTACCTCCAAAAGCAATAGAGGCTGCAAAAAAGGCTGGAAAAGTTCCCGATGTTTTCTATTGTCTCAAGCTTCTAGAAGCCACCGGCATTTCCACTGTCCCAGGTTCGGGATTTGGTCAAAAGGATGGGTATGTCCAAATTTAATTTTTTTGTTATGGTTAGTTTTATGTGGAATATTGCTTACATGCAACCTTAGTTTGTTGTCCGGAAGTAATGCTTAAAATCATATATTGGGAAGTATCACCTTTTTAGATGGTTCGTGGATATGACTACGCTGCTATTTTGTTGCAACTTTCTATACAATTGAGGCGCGTTAAATTCCTTAGTGGCCATTAAAACTTCATTTTGTTTCAAGTTGGTGATTGAAGTTAAACCGCATCCATATTCGTTAGTTTAATGAACTCAAAATAACGGACA